CAAAGTATTAATTTTGGGCATTCAGTGTTGTTTATATGCGGGTAATTCAGCTACGGTATTTCAGGTTTGGTAGCATTTTTGTTCATGTTTCAGTAGTGCTCTTGCATTTTGCTGCTTCCCTGACTGATTCTGTATCATGCTAAGGATGCCTTTCATTTCCCAAGGAAACCTGAATCTGACTAAACTTATTCCAAGACGCTTTGAGTCACGTTTTGCTGAATTCTGTTTTATTCAGTGGTGATTTTGAAATAAGGACAGAGAGAAATTGAAAAGGAAAAAGAAGGTGGTGGGAGGACTCAAGTGCTGAATTTGAGATTTGCAGGGGACGAGGTGAATGTAAACATTCATTTCCCCTTCTACTACAACATCAGGTAGACAGTGCTAATTGAGCTTTAGGGTTTGTGGTGAGTATGGACTCGCGCTGAACTGCCAGACCCTCATATTCATATTGAATCACATCAAGCATGCTGAACTATCAGGGACATGAGAATTGAGGGTCTTCATCATTTCACAGGACTGGGTTCAGAATCTGTCATCTCTTCAAGGAGAGATTTTTACAATGGTGAGTGATTCATATGTTCTTTGTTTCCTGCAGTTTTGAGAGTGTTGTCACGGAGAAGGCAGGCAGGATCTTCAGAAATACTCTCATTAATGATGTTAGAGTGACAGAATATAATATATTAAAATGTGATACATATGTGTTATTCTCATGTTTGAGGTAGCCAGTCAACAATAAATAATTCTTGGCAACCTTGTTTAACAACAGCTCAGTCTGTAATATGCCGGCAAGTGTTGACTTCAAGCATCCTGGGTTTAGTTCAGGGTTTGGCTTGGAGTGTTTGTGAATAAAAAAGTGTACCAGCCAAAAAATCTTAATGGGTTTTTCTAGGAAGGAGACAAACAGTATCTTCTGTGGTGTTTTTAAGAGCAGATTTAAAAGGGAAGTGATTAAAAATGTAAAAGAATATGAACAGGGGAACTGGATACATGCACAAGATTCCTCTCTCTTCTGCTTACAGCCCAGCTGTGCTGACAGACCTTCTGTTCAGTCCTTCAGATTAGCAGAGAAAGATAGGGAAAGCGTGCAGCTTTACCCGTTTGAGAGGTAAAATAATTAAATTCTGTCAGTTTGCAAAGTTCTCAGTTGTGCAATCCTGCCTTCTGGCATGAAATGTTATGCAGAATTTCAGTCATCTTGGCATCCTGTGAACAATAGTTCCCTGCTCTTGTCATTTAAAAAAAAAACCAATGAAATGTTATTTCTTTGTTATGCGCATATATCATTGAGTTTTTACAATCACATGGCTGCTGTGCCACCATTACTTCTTTTTACCAGGGAGAAGTTTATGTTGGCATTTAGAGCCTACAGGTGCCATGACCAGATAGTTTTTCATGTGTGCACATGTAAGCATCTTTTGCCTTTTGTTTGCTTTATATTAGTATTGGCACAAATCCATGGATTTTTCACTTCAAATAAATGTGTGTCATGGTCTGTCTTGCCTTGTAATCTGAGGCCAGTGCTAAAATCCCTTGGTCCTCCCTCCCCTTCCAGTCTGCCCCATTAAAGCTGGGGGGAGGTGCTAGTCTGCCCGATGGGGTCAGAGCCCCCTCAGAGGGAAGCAGTGGAGTGGTGCTGATTCCGCTGTGCAGTTGGTTGATCTGGTGGCAAATATGGGCCCTGAGCTCTGTTTACAGTCTGAATGTCTCCCCTTTCAGAGCTGTCAGATTAAATACAGAGCCAGGACAGTGTTTCTCCCCTTACGTGACTAGAGGGCAAGAACCTTGGATCTGTCAGTAAACCCTGACTTCCTGTATGTTACGGAAAGTATTGCTCCAATTAAGCAGCTGTACCAGCTGCTGTGTCCCCTAATTAATTTCCTTTCTACTAGTTCCTGAGCTTTCTCAACCACTGCTGTACTTCAAATTCTGTCCTTTATAAGTTTTTTAGGATTTATGTTAGTTGAAAGAACTTGCTTCAGGCTGAAATTTAGCCTGAACAGTCATTGAAGATAGCTAGAAATAGATTTTCTTTCTGCAGGAGAAATATGTTCCAAGTACAGAATTATAAAGCAATAAAGGCAGATAATTTGGGGTTGCTGTGGGGTTTTGAGTTTGGGGGGTTATTCTGTTAAATGCCACTTGAGTGAGTAATTTGTGATGTGAATTGGTATATGGGTGTTTTCTTCATTGAAAACGTTGGTTATTAGTCATTCATCTATTTAATATGCCAGTAGACCATTAAAAATAAGTGTCCTAAATTATCAAAATAAACCAAGGAGAAAAATTTATGGCTTAATAGTTAGTCCCTGGTTGTACATGGTAATTCTACTTACATACAATTTCAGGTATGTTATGGATCTCATTAGATGATGTTCATTAAGATTGTATAGGTGGCTATATATGTAAGTCACCTGTGAAATCAGGTCGTAAGGTCAGTGTGACTGCAAGGAGCCAAGAGGCCTTAGTTTTTGATAGAATCATAGAATCATTTGGGTTGGGAAAGACTTTTAAGATCCAGTCCAACCGTAAAACTAACACTGACAAGTCCACCACTAAACCATGTCCCTAAGTCCCACATCTACACATCTTTTAAATACCTCCAGGGACGGTGACTCCACCACTTCCCTGGGCAGCCTGTTCCAACGCTTGACAACCCTTTCAGTGAAGAAATTTTTCTTAATATCCAACTTAAACCTCCCCTGGCACAACTTGAGGCCTTTTCCTCTTGTCCTATTGCTTGTTACTGGGAAGAAGAGGCCAGCGCCCACCTCGACAAAACCTCCTTTCAGGTAGTTGGAGAGAGCAATAAGGTTTCTTCAGACAGACCAGCCCCAGTTCCCTCAGCTGCTCCTCATCAGACTTGCTCTCTAGAACCTTTACCAGCTTCGCCACCCTTCTTTGGACATGCTTCAGCACCTCAATGTCTTTCTTGTGGTGAGGGCCCCAAAACTGAACACAGGATTCAAGGTGTGGCCTCACTGGTACCGAGTACAGGGGGATGATCACTTCCTCAGTCCTGCTGGCCACACGATTTCTGATACAAGCCAGGATGCTGTTGGCCTTCTTGGCCACCTGGGCACACTGCCGACTTATATTCAGCCAGCTGTTGACCAACACCCCCCGGTCCTTTTCCACAGGGCA